CAGGGGGAACTATTTTCGAAAGGCCCGAATGTGTCGAATTGATGTGTAAAGGGGGGATGAGAAACAATTTTGTGAACTTTCTGAATGCTGACAAGCAGCGAAAGAACATTTCATATCCATTGGAATTTGGAGGGTTCCTGGCTGTCCTGCGGTAAAGTAGGGATTTTTGGGGGTTAGTACATTTTAGATTGACCAAAGTTCACTGAAATTTGCCCAGGTTGGGAAGGCCAACAATGGGAAAATCTAGGAAGGGTGAATCCTTTTGCATTCCAAAATTTCTAATGCGAATTCCTGAAAAAAAACCACCCAGAGTTAGGAAATTTTTTGTGGTACATTTTTCTGCCGGATAATGAAAAAATACTGGACTTTTTTTCCAAATTAAGCCTTTGGTGCAAAAAAAAAATTATTGTCAGTGCTTGTTGCAAAAATAAATGCTGGAGTGTGATTTGCTATGCTAAATGATAAAATTGGGAGTCTGAATTCTTGGGAAGACTTGTCTTCGAGCATCTCTGTGTGAACCAGGAAAGACCTTGGTTCACACAAATTCTTTCTGGAAGCCTCCAAGGCTGTTTTTTGATTGCCAAATCCTGGTTCTGTTATTTGTCCTTGGAGGACAGTTTTCCTGGTTTCTGAATTCATCAAAATCCTCACTCTTCTCAGAGCTCTCGTAGGAAACACACCTGTGTATTTGTGAAATATTGTGGGTATTGACTGTGTGTTTGAAACTTTGAAGTATACCAACTTTAAAATAGGGGGATTTTTCACACCAGTCTTAGCCTGACCAAATTCTTGTGTTTGATTTCCTAAAATTTGTCAAGTTCAAATCTTTTCTCGTAAAATCTTCATTTGTCGAGGATTTATTCTCAGCAGTGCTCATGGGCACACAATTTTGCAAAAATATCTCAACTTTTCTGCACAAGGGATATAAATCAATCAATCTTGAGATGTTTATTCTGACCTGGTATTCGTAAGACGGTCTCAAATAATACAAGGCCATCTCCTGATGGAAAACTGGAGTCAGAGACCCAGACATAGGAGGCACAATCCAGGCCCAGTCCCCGGGACATCCTCGACGAACGCGGTTCTCATTCCTCAAGTGCTTCATGAATGAGTCCGCAGCCGTGTATTGATCCACAATGGTCACTCCACTCAGCTTGAATAATAATGATAATAATAATCATCATCATCATCACGGTTTTCTAAACGAATTTTAAAAGCAGTTCATTTTTCAAGGTTTTATCCGTAGATTGTATAGAATAGGATTTCCCCCAGAAAGTGAAAAACCAGCTCAACGAGGTTGTCTCTACTTTTAAACGCTGTCGTGTTCATGTTCGAATTCTGGTGATTTAGTTTAACAATGGCATGACCGACACAAGCTTGGAATGGACAATTTTAATGCTCGGAAATAAAACTGTAATTCCTTCACGATTTTTATTTTCGGAGTTCCGCATATTTCAAGTTAATTTATTATGCCTTCGAATAAGTAAGCACTGGATAATAGTTACTTCAGGTGATCTTCGATAAAGTGACTGACCTGGAAGCTGTGCAAAACAGCTACATTCAGTTCCAAAGCGACCCTGTCTTTCCATAGGTTCGCCGGGGTGCTAGTGTCGAGGCCCATTTTTTTGCCGATTTCCTGAAAACAACCGAAGGAGAACTTCCACTAATTTTTTTAAAATTATTTCTCGTAGTCATTCACATTTTTTTCCTCAATCCAAAAATAAATTTGATAAAGGAATATTGTGATATTTACAATATGTTAATTAGGTCTTATTCATTAAATAAACCGAGGCAGGAACTCTATTTTGCACTGGAAAATATTTCTCGCAGAGAACTAAATTTTCAAGCATACTGGAATCTCTCCAACATTCGAAGAACATTCGATTTCTTCAAGTGAAATTCGAGTGATCCGTCACCCCAATGTTTTATAACTTTCATGGGAAATTTCGTTATTTTTTTCTTCCAGAAAATTCCATCAACTTCACCTCCAGGACATTGTACCGTTGCGGATCGCAGAAATCTCTGACAGCGATTTCAGTAGACATGTACCATCCGTTGAAAGGCGCCGCAGGGAATTCCATTCCGCCGCAGTCGAATAACATATTGGATACGCCCGGAAGAGTGTACCATTCGAGGCCCAAACTTTTGAACCATTTGTACCTGGAAAAGCATATGTTTTGTTCAAATAGTATGGCAATCCGTGGATATCCAAAACTGAGGCCTCATCGTCATCAAACGAGGATATTCTTTTCAGACTTCTATTTTAAAATATGAATACGAAGAAATGCCGAGGTTTAAGATTTGATCACTTATTTCGCTGAATCGTGTTGTGGAGCTCTAAGAAACTACTCGTAGAATAGCTGAAAATTTGTATTAATCTTCCTTTTCATCGTCACAGAGCTCACATTTTTCATCAACAATGAGGATAACAACCTCGGCAACTTTCAACGCACATTTAAATCCTAAGTGCTTGCATTTTTTCATCTGAATATAAGTAACCTCGCAATCAGATATAAACCATTTTTATTTTGAAAATATATACATAAAATTTCCATTATTTTTGCGAAAAACACTTCGAATATAGGTCTTACTCAGGGTGCGACATTTTGACAATGTCGACGAGTTCTGGAGGGATCTCAAAGTATTCAGGATCATGTCCGTGACATGAGAATACCAGCGGAAGAATGTCGAAACGACCTCCTTTTCCTTTCCAGCCCAACTTCTGACAAACCTAAAATAAAGAAATTTCAGTTATATTATACACAGTATAAATGAAACTTTTTAAAATATTTCGAACAGTGGTTACTGGCTAATTTAAGATACAGTTCTATATTTTAAATAATGAAGGTGGACTCTTCCGTCAATACGACAAAATTCAAGGTGCCAGAAAAGTATTTGTTGTAGAGAGAATTCCATTATAGACAGCCTCTAAAACATGAGGAGAGAATAAACCCTAGATACGGGATTTTTTTAAATCATGTGGTTACGCAAAGAAAATCGTTGTAGAGTCCACCTTAATGAAATTTATGGTTTCATGGTGGAATCGGAAATTATTTTCAGTAGGAAAAGAAATCTTGAACTTTCTAATAGAGCAGTGATCCCAAATATTACCAATATTATAACCCACAGTCTGCAGGCTGCGGCACAAGTTTCTTTCGATCATAATACTTTATCAAAGATATAATAATTGTCTGTCCTTGCACTCCAAAATTTTGGAGACAATGCAATTTGAATTTATTTGACGATAAGTAAATTGTTGGGCTTTCTCCTAATAGCAATTCAGGCATATTTTCACATGTTCAAAAATTTTATTTCCAGTTTTCAACCTGAGAAACCTTTTGTCAAGCCCAGCATCCTTATTTTAAAGTACATTTCCACTCGCTACTTCATGGGTTCTCAACTTAATTTTTGCAATAAAATTTTTGTTCCGAGGACTGCTGTATAGATGGTATTTTAAAATTTTATGCTGGTCATCAAAAGTTGTGCAGAATGTTGCCAGTCTGTGGAACATTTTATGAAAATATGCCAGTCGGCAAAGGATTTAATTGAAATTTGCCAGTCCGCGAACCACACTGTTCTAGAGTTCATCATTGTCAAAACGAAGTTATATTCAATCCCGGAATCATTATTATTAAGTTTTACCTCCGTGAATTCGACATTGGCAGGATCACCAACAATCGACCCATCGGGTTGAGTGTACCCTGCAAAAGAAACAATTTGGCCATTCCACATTCGACTGTCCTCTCTACCAGCTACACGAGGTGGGAAAACCGTGATTGCTGACCTAAATAAATCATTCAATCAAGTAAAGGAATCACTTTTAATTAATATGTGATTAAGGCTGATTTACCGAATGTTTCCGTTGTTCATGCCATACTTGATGTGATTCAGAAGAGCGACGTACATTCCAGACGGAGTTGTAACGTGTCTGCAGTCGAAAACCTGGCAATTTTCAAGAAAAGTAATTTTTGAAATTTTAATTCACTCGCTTTTTCAATTATAGTTTCTTGAAAAAACCTGTAATTTCGACCACTGAATTCTCCCGATGCAACGCAAAGCGTTTCTCCAAGCTAATTTCGCACCATATGCTAATTCCGGCAGCCTCAAATCGTAATATCCTTTTGATTCCACGTCAGCTTTAACTTCTTTCCATCGTCGAATATGTTCCTCGGAATTTTTTCTACAAACAAAAATGGATAGAATTGATTCCAGTTGAGAAAATTAGTACCATTTTCCAATTGAAAACCTTTTTGCCGATTCGTAATATTCGTCCAAGAATTTCTCGGCATCGGCCAATTTTTCTTCTGCAGATCTCAGCTGATTCACGACGGAATTCGTCGGAATGGCAGTGTTCATCAAACTGCCCTGACATACTTTCTGGGAGCAAGTACTTTTTCCCTGAAAATTGTTACTTTTTTAATCATTAAGCAATTTCATAGAATATTTGGGGGATTTGTTTTTACCCCAGCAATGGAATGCAGCACGTCGATTGTTTCAGTTCCATCCGACCAATTCTTCAATTTCAGCGGTTTGTTCCGCTTAATGAGCGACATTTTCTGAGCACTTTTTTCTAAGGATTGCAACTTGCGACTAGATGAGAGAATCGACTGGTCTTCAGAAAATCACTTCACAGCTCAGAAGATGTGTTCAATTTTTTTTTTTCTCAGTTCGTGGGGAAAAACCCGGATGCCTGATTATTCTTCGAAACCAGTGCATTTCCTGTAGTTTATCACCAACGGGTTTCCGGATGAATGGCTGAATTCCGTGATTTTTTTGTCTGTTTCTGGCTGCGTAACACGACGAATTGTATCTTCGAGGGGCCCAAAATTACGTTTCAGGTCAACTTTGATTAAATTTTTGTAGAAGAAAGTTGAGTTTCACTCAAGTTTTAAAATGCAAGACTGTGGAAAATAAGGGCAACATTTTTGTTCCTCTTCCACGAAAATATTCTTACTGAAACACAGCTTTATTTGGCTTTTCCCGAGGAAGATAAAGTGGAATCTTTCGAACACTGTTGTCATGAACGTTCTCTTCAAGTGTTCCATTTTTTCAGACATTAGAGCGCGTATCAAAACTACGCGTGTCCGAAACAGCGCGAACTAAAAGGAAGCAAAAGGCAGCAAAATGTTTCCTGGTGATAAGGAACATCTTGAATATATAGTACTCTGTATAATTGTATTCGTATTGAATTGTTGGTCATTTTGAATGGTCGGTCCTATTTTTTTATATCACTTGAGGGCTACAAGTTTATATTTCACTTTTTATTATCCATCAGTGTCGGTCTGTCGATTGAGGATCAATGGTTCGACTTTTTTTTATGGAGGCACGCCTTAAATTTTGAGAAATGTTTTCTGAGATTTTTGAATTTTATGCACTTGTCGTCGAGTCATCAATCCCATGCATGTCATTTCTATATTTACAAAATGACGAATTTTGCGGCAAAAACATTTTCTGCTGCATGCTTCCTGTAGCAATAAAAACGAATGAAAACAGCTGAATTCTCTTTTCTTTTTTTCGAAATGTTTTTTCGAACCAGTTTTATCTCATGGAAAAGCATGAGGAGCGCTGGATGCTTTTATTGACGAATTTCCGCTTAATGAGCGACATTTTCTGAGCACTTTTTTCTAAGGATTGCAACTTGCGACTAGATGAGAGAATCGACTGGTCTTCAGAAAATCACTTCACAGCTCAGAAGATGTGTTCAATTTTTTTTTCTCAGTTCGTGGGGAAAAACCCGGATGCCTGATTATTCTTCGAAACCAGTCCATTTCCTGTAGTTTATCACCAGCGCGTTTCCGGATGAAGGGCTGAATTCCGTGATTTTTTTGTCTGTTTCTGGCTGCGTAACACGACGAGTTGTATCTTCGAGGGGCCCAAAATTACGTTTCAGGTCAACTTTGATTAAATTTTTGTAGAAGAATGTTGAGTTTCACTCAAGTTTTAAAATGCAAGACTGTGGAAAATAAGGGTAACATTTTTGTTCCTCTTCCACGAAAACATTCTTACTGAAACACAGCTTTATTTGGCTTTTCCCGAGGAAGATAAAGTGGTATCTTTCGAACACTGTTGTCATGAACGTTCTCTTCAAGTGTTCCATTTTTTCCAGACAATTGAGCGCGTATCAAAACTACGCGTGTCCGAAACAGCGCGAACTAGAAGGAAGCAAAAGGCAGCAAAATGTTTCCTGGTGATAAGGAACATCTTGAATATATAGTACTCTGTATAATTGTATTCGTATTGAATTGTTGGTCATTTTGAATGGTCGGTCCTATTTTTTTATATCACTTGAGGGTTACAAGTTTATATTTCACATTTTATCCGCCATCAGTGTCGGTCTGTCGATTGAGGATCAATGGTTCGACTTTTTTTATGGAGGCATGCCTTACATTTTGAGAAATGTTTCCTTAGATTTTTGAATTTTATGCACTTGTCGTTGGGTCATCAATCGCATGCACATTTCAACTTTCTTCTCAGCATAATTCTCCATTCTCAAAAACCTTTATTTATTCGAAGTAAACCGTGCACAGCGAAGTTGATCGCAAAAAAAGGATTGCGGTTTGCCATTTGGACATGAAGTCATTTAGGAGAAAAATGTTGCGTGACACAGCAAGAAGGAAAATTTCTGTAATTGCTTCATGAGATACAGAAACACAAAATAGTGAGTTACATTTATGCACCCGAAAAACAAATATTTTTCCATGGGAATTTTTGTAAAGAATTTGTCCTTCAACATGATTAAACATAGCAAAAATAAAAACGTTCCTAATATTAGCCAATTTCAGGGAGTAGAAATATGGTGTTCTCCGAATTGTTTTCCCACCATCATATTTTCACTGCGCACAGAAAATAACGTCTCAGCTCTTGCAAGCAGGAATGCAGTTTCATCTTTTTTGATTTGGTTATCATACTTATTTAACTTTGAATTTCTTTCGAAAATAAGTTATATATCTTTTCAAAAAATTTTCAAGTTAAATTGTCTTTAAATTACTTCTAAAAAAACGAGTTTGACAAAGATCCCTCCAAGCTCGCTGCTGTCTGCCCTGCTCCCATCCTCCGACCACAGATTGTCTTCTTCTGTTATTTCAGGGATACATCAATTCAACATTTTTATTTTGAGAAATTGATTCGTAGAGTGATGTCAAAAATGCGCACCCATTTGATTAAATTTTTTTCCATTCACGAATCGTATTTCATTTGCTAGAAAAATGACCTAGAGAAAATTGGTCCAGATGTTTTGCGGTTGTTATGCACCCAATAAATTCAAGGGATTAGTACTGAGAACTTGAAAATTGCAAACACGCCAAAACAACCGATGTTTCGTTTTTTTTAAATGCAAGATGGAAATGTCCGAAATGATTGTGAAAGGCATGTGCAAAATGTAACTGTTTTTTTTCCAACGCATCCAGGGACACAAAAATATAAATCCTCCTCAGACCCTTTTTCGAGAGATTCGATGGTCACTTGGTCTAATCGTCGATTGACACTGCTGGTTCTGGTCAGACTGGCATCTCTTTTATATTTCTCCAATAAGCTGAGGAAGGGTTTTGGATCCGGGTTAAACGAGTGGAATGGTGCAAAGCATCAGGGGAAAAAAAACAGCGGGTTTGGTTTTCTGAGGCATCGGATCGTCAGATGGGTTCAGTTTTGTGGCTGGATCCATGTCCGAAAAGGAATCAAAGGTTACCGTGTACACCAAGAGAATTCGTATGTCGCAGTAAGGGATACAAAAAAATGCTTCTAAAGCTTTGCTTTCTCTGTATAATAATTCCGGAATATAGTAGTACTGTATAGTGATTTCGCGGTTTTGGTATTGATTTGTCTGCCTCATGAAGAGTTTCAATCAATTGTGAAGGGGACACGACTTCTCGTTTTTTTTCAGTAGCAAGCAATTTATTCAGTTTTTGCTGAATTGGAAAATAAAATTCCTGCTCCAGCCGCTTTACACGTTTGACAATAGGCAATTCAGTTTCCTTGGAATATTTACAGATTTTCAATCAATAAAGTTGGACATGGTCTCTAATGATGTGGGCTGAAGCCATAATGGAAAGATAAAATTCCTGCTCCAGCCGCTTTACACGTTTGACAATAGGCAATGCAGTGTTCTTAGAACATTTGAAGATTTACAATCATTAAAGCTGGACATGGTCTCTAATGATGTGGGCAGCCTAATGTTGTTGGGGATGGAGACTGAGGCGGGCAACCGTAAATGATTATATACGGTAATAATCCCACCCACAAAAACTGGTGCTGGGCCTCCATAGACTGCATAGAGCCTCAGGGCACCAAAGAACTCGCCGCCAATAGAGCATGAAAACCTGTACTGCCATGCTATGCCTGGTCTTCATCTTTGAGGCGGCTATAGCCAATCAGAATTCGTTTATTTTTCCTAACCTTTACCAAGAACCAGTTCATCACAACCCTTCCGCAAGATTGCTTAAAAGCCTCAAAACCCATTAATCAATAGTTCATTGCCTCCATCAGTGGCTCATTCCCATTCTAGCTTCTCATTCCACTGAAAAAGCTTGTACAAAATACCCAGAACCAATTCTCTGAATGCTTGTGTGGTTTGTGTGCCTTATTATATGTGAGTATGATTCTCCAAAGATGCTGAGTTGTTTTGGGAAAAGAATAGATCTAACTTCTTTGGGCCCGTATAGAGAGGAAATATATTATATTTCCGTGAAGTATATAAAGAATCACTTTCAATTCTAATTTAATCACTTTTCTATGTTAAGGAACTTATAATCCCTAACAACAATGAAATAAAACAGAAGGGCTTTCTCTACTGAATACAGTTGTAAAACTCAACATGAATTACTGTGCATCTAAAATAAAGTGTTTCGCTAATTACCTGAATAATTTGAAAAATAATCAGGAATTATTCATTAATAAATTGAATGACGTTGTTGTGTTCAAAATATGGGGTGAAACTTTTTTCACCGTCATTTTCTCTCCGTTGGGATTATCCCAATGTTGGGATTTTCTCCGTTATTTTGGCATTTTTCATGATTTCAGAAATTTGCCGCAATATAATTTCAGAAGCATTAGTATTCATAATCGTGATTTAATCTGCATAAAAAATTATTCCTTCACGTGTAAAATCAATATACCAGTCAAATTCTTCATTCGATTCTGAATCTTATCAATACTATTTGAAGAGAACTTGTGAAATGCTCAAAAGCTATTTGTTTTGAGAACTACGTCTAGAAAGGGGACTTGAAGTAAAGCCTGGTAGAAAAATTATCCTCTCTGAAAGATACGTAATAAACCCTCATAACAACTCCAAGTTGCGCAACGTGTTTATTGTGCTTTTCGCCAATTTTCTGTATTAGTATTTTTCTCGCTCATTCATTTATAAAAGAATTGTAGAACAATATGGAGCATGACGAAAGATACTGTGTCTCGGAAATGATTTGGTTCACTCCTCGCCTTATAAGTTGTTAAAATGCATGAAAACGTTCACACACAAAAATTCGTCTGCATCCGATGATTTTTTTTTTTCATGTATGATACTGGTCCAATAGCATTTGCAGAAGTTCTTCCGAATACTCTCACTCAGAAATTTGTGGAGGGTTTCGATTTTTTTTTTCTTAGTCCATCACCTGCAGTAAGTTGAGAACACGTCAACAATTACTCAACCCAAACAAACCCGCATTTTAAATGAACAGAACCACTGAATGGACACCCGAAATCCCGGCCAACAGGGTTTCCAGTGCATTTCTCTACAGTACCGTAATTATTTTTTGTGTCTACTACTGACAGAGATTAGCCAATGCGATCCTATCTTTGGAAAATCAGATTTTTAATGGACCTCCACTGACGTTAAGCGCTCATTTCGGACCGGCACAGTCAAAGACTTTTTCGAAGACCCAGTTTGAAGTCTTTCCCTTTTGGGCCATCCCAGTGAAAACCCTGGGCATACAGTACTGCTGTGTACATCCTTCCGCCAGGAAACCGAAGTAATAATATTTGGTTCTTAAATCTCTTTACTAATCAGTGGAGGGAAGCATCAGATCTTGCTTCATCATGTCGGGGCACTGAATGTGCTATGAAAACAAGTATTTCAGGATGAGATAAGATCTGTGTATCGCCTCATTAACGGGACTACTGCTTCTGTTTTGCGGCTTTCTTGAAGAGTTGTTTCATTGGTCGAACTCCTGTTCGTGAGGACATACACCACAAATGATGAGGGGAAATTCTTAGAATCATTTCTGAGATCTCTCAAGGAGCTCTGCATTCTCTGGCGAGGATATCCATTTGAATATAAAAATAAATATAGAATCCCTCATAAAACTCCTGGCTTTCTTCGTCGCCAGGGAAGCCACTCCAGTTCCAGCGGATTCATTGCTGTTAATTGAATGATTGAATCTCTGCCCCGAAGCAAAACATAGCAAAAAACAAAAACTGGATATTTTTATTGCTGCGTACTGGAAGAGATGGCCCTGATTTGAAGGCTTTGTACCTGCATTTCTTCAGCAGGGTGCAGCAGTACAATAAGTCCTCAAAGATGTCAATAACCTATCATCAATTGACTACTTGGTACTTGGTACCCGGATGAATGCTTGGACGAGTATAACGCCAATCAGCTGAGGATTACCTGACCCCCTTTTAAAACTCAATCGTTAACCTTTTGGGTATCGCGTGATCTGCTGACATATCTGTTAAAATGTCACCGGATGAAACTCAAGTCATTGATCCCTCCAGTTGAAAGAAGGCCACTTATTGGAACATAGATATACAGTACAGTGCAGTATAACGCTTCCATTTTCAGGCGTGGGTGGGATTCATCTTCTGGTGGTGGAAGCAGTACATGCAGTCATCAATAGAGCGACATCTACATTTGTTATCAAAATGAGCTTCTTAAAGATACAAAGTTTAACAAACGTTGTCACTGACTGTTTCTGAGTATTCTAGGGGGAAGGGGGAGACATCACTCCGGGAATCCATTAATCCAATTCAAACTGGAGAAGAAAATGTGAAGCATGAATATTGAAATTTTACTACAAGGATTCCATAACTGAAGAAATAATTTTCTATTGATATTTTATTTTTGAAAGGACCTGTGGGAAAGGGCAGCTGTGGAGAAGTGATCCCTGCTGCTGAGCTCAAATCCACGGATTGTTCTACGTACTTCGCTGTCAAATGCTTGAAAAAGGACCTGGTTTTGAAGGACAATGACGTGGAGTGCGTGTTGATTGAGCGAATGTCACCAACGATTGAAACAACGCACCCGTTTTTGTGCCAGCTTTTCTGCAAATTCCAGACCCTGTCACCTTTTTTTCCCCATGGAAGGCGTCGACTTTGGAGATTTGATGTTCCGTATTCACAGGCTTCAAGAGGTTTCAAGCGACCGAGCTAGTTTTTACGGCGCCGAAAGCATCAGCGGGCTTCGGGTTTTTTGCACGAAAAGGGTATCGTTCACCAGTAATCTTTTGCTTGTCTTACATTTTCGCTACAAATGTAGATAAGATATCTCAGGGTATTTTCATGGGATTTGCCTATTTTTTTTATGGAAGTACTGGAGAAAAAAGTCTGTCTTGATTCGTTAATCCAAAATTGTCATAATGTGCTCGTGGGTCACGCGCAAATTCTCTCAAAATTTGGCACGAATGAAGCGGGTGCAGATCGTGACAAAAATGAAATTACTGTCGGATGGGGCTTGAGTGGAATGGCAATAGTTTTTAATTAATATCTTAATATTTTTGAAAGCTTGAACTGCGCGTCTTCGAACACCTCGCTACAATAAATTTGAGGAATTTCGTTAAGATGCTTGTATTCTTGACAGTTTTTATAACGAAATTTCGTCAATGGAATACTGAGACCAACAGTTGATCTTCGTGAAATGTTCAGATTGACGGTTGTCTCAATCTCTGCACGTAGTATCATTGCCATAAATGTCATTTCTATATTTACAAAATGACGAATTTTGCGGCAAAAACATTTTCTGCTGCGTGCTTCCTGTAGCAATAAAAACGAATGAAAACAGCTGAATTCTCTTTTCTTTTTTTCGAAATGTTTTTTCGAACCAGTTTTATCTCATGGAAAAGCATGAGGAGCGCTGGATGCTTTTATTGACGAATGTGAAGTCGGAATTGAAATTATTCCAGTAAAATAAATCTATTATGAATCCGTCAATGCTACGTCATTGCAGAAGCTGCAAAAAAACATGGGACGTCGGAAATTCTTTTTATTGTCAGAAAATTTTCAGAGTGATGCGAATGATGTCAGTTGTTCAAAACCCTTTTGAAGTCCATTCTAACAAACAATCTGAATCCGATCTCCTTTAAATGTAGTCGTCACGCAATCTGCCCAAACTGAATCGTCCCAATTCGCACAAAGAATGCACAGGAACAAAAGAAAACCAAAAAAAAAATGTCCTTTTTTATCCCCTCATCCAAAGTCTTTTCGCTCATGATGCTGATATTTTCGACACTTTCCTGAGTTCACTGGTTCTGAGTACTATTTCTGAATAACATCAAAAGCGTCTCACCAGTTGTATCACAATGAAGACTGCAAGTGATTTGCGAGGGGTTCTTCTTGCAATGGCTCTGATCATTGGGTCAATCAATGTAATTGATTCGAACGACTCAGAAAGTGTGAGTACCTATCCATGCACACACTTGAAGAATTAATTGAGCAGTAAAAATTCAGTGTGTATTGTATCATCTCGTGATACTATTTTTCTGATCAATGCCAAATCTGGTATAAAAACCAATGTCAAAATTAACTTCAGAAAATAATACTTGGCTCCATGCTTACGAAAAATTCCGGAACTCAGATTCAAATTTTGGAGTTTGTAACTGAAGCAAGAACAGCATCAACATAATTCTCTGGTCCTAGATAAAAATCAACAAAAGCAGAGTGAAACTCACATTTCAGATCAAAATTGTATCCTTTCTTGATGACCAAAAGGCAAAAATACAGCACATTCAATGCATGTAATTTATAACGTTTGACACTCCTGTACATTTGGCATTCATGTGGAAAATCTTCTTCGTTTTGAGTTGATAATTCAGTTTTCATGGGCTGGGCTGGTTTGATTTTCCACAGTAAACCATTCACACATTTCTTTCCACCCACAGATCAGATCTGTGCATGCATCCATTACGGAGAAAGTCTGCGAGAAGATTTCAGGTATGCCTTCAAAACAGTAAAAACAATTCGTTGAGGCATGGGTTTTGTGATTTAGAATTCTTATTCAGTTGAAATACTATTAAAGTCTCACTTTTCTGGCTGCATAGAACGAGGAGACGTTAAATAAATTCATCGACAATGAATTGTTGCTCGAGTCAAAATTCAGTTCATTTTTCAAAATGTGGAAAAATTGAATGTTATGCTTGCCAAATTACTACAAGGAAAGCATGGAAAGAAATATATACAAGCAAATACTAATCTATCCCAATTTTAATCCCAGAAAAATAAAACTTACAATTTGTCTTGTAAAATGAAACTTACAATTTTTCTTGTAAAATTAAACTTACAATTTTTCTTGTAAAATAAAAAAATACGTTCTTTCATTAATGTCAAAAATATGTGTAAAAATCTTAATACATGCATATACAAACCATGAGATATAAAAAGTTGTCAACCTATGGGAAAATATCAGAAATGGATTCAACAAAATCTCTTTCTGCAGATTTGTCAAAATGTGAAAAAATTGCAGTAGGTGAACATCAAGAATTCATTGCTTTGAAAACGGACAGACAAGATTTTACGCACGGAAAAACTGTCAAAGACTGGTGCTTTCAGGTGAGAGCTTAATCATAATTATCTCTATAATACAATCCTTGTGAAAGTGCAGCCATTATAGGCTGCAATTTCACTTCTATTTGACATTCCATGGATAAAATTCATAGTAGTTAAAAGTAATTTTAAACTTTTTGACCTATTAGGCATTGGGATAGTTTTGAATTCTTAATGACAACTGATTTCCTCAAGCTCATAAGCACATTATTTATTTCTAATTGAAGTAAATTAGAGAAAAATGCAGCTTGTTCTTCAATTGAACATCTCCAAAATAGGCCAATAGACTTGGGGGGATTTTATGGGGAAAGTGTCATGTTTTTCACAAAAGTCACTCAAAATATATTTTTGTGAAAACTTTTTCCGATGGCAATTAACCCATCCATCAGATTCCGCAAGATGTTGCCACACAGGCTAATAAATTCTGTAGGGCATGACCTGGGCACTTTGCAAAAATTTTTGTATTGCTATGTCTGTGCCCATGCTCTCTTGTTCTCTTTCAGCTGAATAAATTGTGGTTTTGAAGGAACTTTAATAAGGAGGATCTGGCTGCATGATGGCTGACCACCTGTGTTTCCTTTTCCTAACCATATTTATCATATCCCAGCCAAACACTGTCAGCAATGACCAAACCCCCCTGGCCTATGTAGGGGTAAAGTGACCCAGAGAGAGGTTGAAAACAGGAGAGCTGACAAAAGGCGCTCACATGTTTTACAACCAGTTTGCCAAAACATCCATGCTGGAATGTGAGTGTCTAAGAGACACTGCACTACCTCTCAAGAAATCAATTTCCAACCAGGGAGAAGATTTTGACTTTTGAACTATAATTGATTCCCACTTAGTAGAATTCAGTAAAAATTGACAGCCATTTTTCAGGTGCTTAACCCTAGCAAATAATTTCCCCACATGTTCATCAAGATTGAACCAGTAGCACATGGGTGACAGTCATCTGTATTGAGATATAGGCATAGGGGTGTTTCTTTTGTTAAAGGTGACAATAATAACAGTCACCCATGTATTGACACATGTGACACATGTACAATATTGGGCTATTGGCAACTGTTATGGGTGAAGCGCCCCCCCCCCCCCTCCCCCTGCCAAAAGCACTCTGTCATTTCCCCCAAATAAGTTAGAAAATTAAACTTTGTGCTGAACAGGTGGCTTGTCTCATGACTGGTTGCACACCAGCCAATTGGCTGAGTTTCAATTCTCTTAGAAAGTAGCTGTTCTTTCTGAAACTTCAATTTATATTCTCTGCTGCTCTTGACTATCTGTAAACTTCGGTAAAGTGCCCACTCAAACGGTAAAAATCGTCACAAGAGTTTTGGGAAACTCGACGGATTTCTCCAAGAGAAAAATAGTCCAAGATCCGCGCTCAGTTTTGAAATTTTGAATAATGAATGTTGAATGATTCATTCATGTCTGATGATTTCCAAAGTGTGACCCACGAGGACTGATGGTCCTGTACTGCCCAGTGGTCAGTCTGGGAAACGACGAATGCGACGAAGCAGCTCTCTGGGTGGAAGGAAAATCGTGAGAAAAGTCTTCCAACATTTTCATTTACCATTCTTATCCATAAATTATGTCAAAATATTCCTCAACGCTCTGAAGTAAGGGTGCATATTTTAATCAAAAGCGTCTAAAATATTCCTCCAGTAGATGCTTGCTATGTTTTCAAGAGGCAGTAAAACAGCATTTATTAAATTAACGATGAGCTTTCAACTGTATCTCAAAAATTGATGGTAACCTTGAAGATTCATCTGAGCTTAATGTTGAAAAAATAACGATTCCAAGCAAAAATGAAAATACGAACAACTTCTTCTTTCTTGGGATTTTAATGGAAAATGAAAAAGATAAGAAATATGCTTAAATTTTCTTTCAAGTAAACGCTGTTGTAATCAGCCAATTATAGTTGACTTATAAATTTGTACTTCTTACTTGCTCCGTATATTTCCCATTTGTTTTAAATATGTACAGTGAAGTTCGAAATTCACGGGATTCATGATGGAAGACAACTGCTCATATTCAATATTTTTCATCTTGATTAATTGCATCCTTTGGTATCTATGGTTTCATCATAATAGATCCGCCCAAACAGTATTCCAGACAATTAAAGTTGTAGTGAAAAAGTAAGTGACATAATCGTTTGATGTGGTACAATATATAGTGCATTAATAATTGTAAGACAAAGAAAATGCGCCAGCAATTGAAGGAACGTAGTCCAAGCTAAGTCAGCGAATTTTTAGTCTGAGCGGCAGAAACGTAGAGTTTCTTTTTCTCTTTCATAGATGTCATCCGATGTTTCTGAAAATACGTTGATTTCTCTCTAATTGCGAAAATCGTTTTACAGGCGTTATTGTGGCACAGAAGAAGTTGTGGAGATAGATAAGAATTGCATCTCAGCAGTGCTGGAGGTGAATAACAGCTATGTGGCGACTGCGATGCATTCGCCGTATCTCCATTGCACCGCTACTTGCATCAGTGAGTACGGATCATCCTTGGATTTCCCAATATAGTGCCTGAATATTTGCCAAAAACGTTATGATTTTTACTTTGGAATCCGTCCGTGGCTGTTCTTCTAGTATTCATTTATTGATTTACAAGCTTTTTTGCCCTTTTGTCAGCATCCACAAGGTTCAAAAAAGGCTTCCCACCCCACACAACCATGAACACTTTCCAGTGCATCAGATGAACAAAAATCCCTTTTAGGATTTTAAAAGAAAATACATCACGGTGCAGTACAGGTGGTATCTTGAAATTTTACCCACCACAATTTGACCATATCCCACAATTCAATGGCCAAATTTGCTGGGAGGTTGACTTGTAATTTAAACTTTGCCTCGCGTCACAATTTGACCTTTATCAGCCACTTTCTAGTGTTTTTTGCTACTGTTTCTTAATGTTACAGAAGGTGAAAACGCTTACCGTTCACGTATATTTTTTAAATCCACAACTAATTTGAAATATCGTTCTCGAAAAATAAGATGGCTGTCAGGTGAATGCGAATCTCACTTCATAAAATAAATTTGTTCAAGTTTTTATTTCCATCTTCATAGAATCAATGGCGTACATGCATACTGCTTTGCATGTACCAGACGAGGGACTAAAAAATAGTATAAATTCAAATTCGACGAGTACATCCGAAGAAGAAGACGAAGAAGAAGCCGACTTTGAAAATTTGGAAGACAACGAGGTCACTACGTCTATGGGCCCACTGGTGAGTACATGATCGCTTTCGGGATTTTTTTTTAGAAGTACAATTGGAAGAAAAAAGAAGCAGAAACCCTCCAAGTTTTTGAAGCCTCAAAAAAACCTTCGAAAAAGGGAAAGGCTCTTCAGAGCAGAGACTTTCGGTCCGAAGTAGATTTATTCTTCCTGGACCAGCTAAAGATTGTGGGAGAAAAATGATTGTCCTCGTAGAACCCTGCTTTCCAATTCCTCTTTCTCTATTATTCAATTCTCCGAAATCTAACTCTAATGTACAGCAACCGGAAACATTTCCTGGAAAATTTAAAAGATCCAGCGAATACCATTTTTTTTTGAATTTTTACAAATTCTATCTGCAAGGTAGCAGAACATAATTCATCGTCGATGGTTGCTCCTCATAGCTAAAATATTGCGGAAACCTGAAGCATCTTCCACATTTCTTCGCAAATTTTAACCAACTGTTTCTCTTTGCGAAATAGCTGAAAATCAATTAGAGCACTGAAGATCGAAAGCGAATTTTTGCCTAGAAAAAAGAACTATTAATTGAACGACCGATCCCTTACCCTGATTGTATAAAATTTGAATAAGTAAAAAACGATTATAAAATTAAGTTCTATCAAAATTCGAGTCTTTCCTCCGAACGTTTTCAAAATTTTAAATGATGACCTCGCCTTTTATTTTTATTCTTTTTCATTCTGATAATTTGTAATTTTCGGTGAATTTTTTTAACCCTGGAATGGAGCTATCTTAGACTTGAGATAATATGGAACACATAATTTACCGAAGCCAAAATGCACCTTTGAAGTTAAAAATGATCGCCATCAAACTTGATATTGAGTGGTAAATAATTTGAAGCTATACATCACATTTTTTAAGAGTCTGAATGTATTTGCCGCTTTCTAAGATATTATTTTTTACATTTTTATAGAATTGTTCTGTTACTTGAAGGAGGACCTTCGCACACAAAAATCGATTGCAATTTTTGAGAACAATCTCTTCAGGCATTTTCGTGAAGATCAGTTGTCTTACGCTATAAATACGCAAGTTGCTTACATTACTTTTATACCTGATTCATTTTTTCAACGCTGACTTTCGGTGATGCATTTATAAATTTTTAACATGGAATTTCTTGTCTGATGCAAACATTTTGGCACTCTCTTCATCTGAAAATATACACGGTCGGTTGCTGAAAATAAAACTGCAAGTAGACTCTTATTTGGGGAATGAAAACCCCAATATACGGTTTTTGAGAACCATCTTGACAATTCGTCTCCATGCTTCTTCTTTTCCTTCGCACAAATGAATGTAGGACGAGATGTCAAAAGAGCAAACTACGGAGCCCGTGCTGCTGACAAAAGGTGAAATAAGGGACTCCGACCCACCCCAGCAGACCTCAGCAGAGATGAATGGTTATTTGACCTCACAAGAAGGCCCGCATGTCGAGGAGACTTCGCTGATAACTACCACAGAACCAGCCTCTGATTCTGCTGAAGACAATGATTTAGACCTCGCAACAACAACGACAGCCTCAAGGAATGATCCCTGGCCCCAGGTTACTGAGGGTGACCCAACAACTTCCAACACCCACGCGTCAACGATGGCCAACGACAGGGAAAATCCCTCGAGTTTTGACGAAGAAAGTCACGAGCAGAGCCGAGAATCAACGATCGAAATTGATAATCGAAATCACGATTCGGAGAGTCAGTCATCCGCAAGCACAGCTACTGCTAGAGCTGAATATATTGGAGAATCCATCGACATTTTGGCGAGCGAAAAGCAGGAGGGATTTGCGGAAAAGGAAGATAACAGGATTTCTAACACGGTTGACCCATGTGAAGATACATCATTTTCTGAGAACCATTTGCAACAGACCATTGCAAAAGTTTCCGGTGGTTCTGGATCTCCAGAAACGGAAACTTCATTCCTTGACTTCTCACGTATGAAATCAGCAAAACAAGATTTTTACAAATGGATGACTAAGAAATTGATTTCAATCTTCGATTTTTCGACAATTCTTGTGGAAGTTCTTTGTGGACTACTTTTGCTGATATATAGAACGTTCGCTTCGTCTGAAATAGCTTTGGAAATATTCATTTGATCTGTAAGGTTTATTGAAGCCTACAATTTTAGCGGAAAATTCTGAAAAATTTCGAAGAATAAGCTTGATTAAAATTTAGAAGGCTTTTTTGTTTAGCGCATTTTGAATTTCACGAAGATCGATTGATTGGCATTGAACTACACAACAGATTCAGAAGTGCACAGTTCAAAAATTCTTTGAAGGATTTTATTATTTTCCTTTTTCTATGAGATATTAAAAATTTAGTACTACTTACTGTAATTTCTTCGCGTTATTTATTTTGAACAAAAAAGGTTCGGAAAAGGAATCTTTGGATTTAACAACTGATCAACCAACGGATCGCAGCTTTCAACCCATCAGTGACCTGGAAGTGGAAGAAATCCGAACAACTGACTTTAAACCCGGGGGAAATTTTTTCAAACCCCCACCAAGAATTGGGTCTGCATCACTTTTGAAAAATACTGGACAGAATTCTAAATCCTCAACTGAACCAAAATCGACCACGAGAAGACCCGCAGGGGACAATGCCAACAAAATTCGTGACTCGTCATGGGAAATTCCGAAAAATTTAATTAAACAAATCTTGGAGAAATTAATCAGAACTTCGATTGACTCAAAGCTTCACACGGAAACTAAAACTTCTGAACAAACAAGGCAGACAGAAGAAAAAGAAAGCACCAACTTTGGAAGAAGAACTACTGATCGTCTCAGACTTCTTGAAGACAAGGATTCTTCATCCAATGAAGATAACGAAAGCGAGAAAACGACAGAGGCTTCATGGACGAATAGTCACACTCATCGTGAACACACGACTACAATTCTGAGAAAAGAATTATGGCAAGATATTGAACAAGAGCCTTCGATAACCATCAGTCGAGATTCCGGGTCAGCAGAGTATAAAAACGCGCCCAGTCACATGGATAATAAAATCTCCGGACGAGCTTTCAATGATTTCGTGGCAGCTGATGATCAGTCAGGAGAAAAAAGCACTTTCCAGCCAGAGGAAATCACAACTATTTTCGAAACACACTCTGCGACAGAATCCCCGGTGACACCTGTGGAAAATTTGCCTCGCGCCGGATCAATCGAAGAAGAAGACGACGGGAGTATCTTTTCTTGGCCAAAGGATTCAAAGAAAAGCCCTCGGAAATTCGAAGAAAAATCGGACTCACTTCCAACCACAGTTGATACGGAACTTCCAGAAAATTCTGAACCCACAATTTTTTTCAGCAGTTTCAAAAATGCTGATGCCACAAACAATCCCTCGGAAATCACCGACGAAACGCCAGTCTTCACATCTTCCTTCGAACTTGATGACCCCACCACATCTGCATTATTTGATGACGAATTCAACTTGTCTTCTTCTAAAAAGAAAAGCAGAGATTTTGAATCTACGACGCTTTCCCCCGATGTCATTGGAGTCCAGGACGAAAAATTGAAGGGACTTCATGCAACCCGGACAACGAAACCCGGAGAGATTCCCTCAATGACCTCAGATCAAATCCTGAAAGAGACAGCCATAACTTCACATGGAATGGCATCTAGTGCCCAGAAGAACACAGATTCCTTGAAAACCGCTGATCAAAAATCAAACATTGATCTGAATAAAAAAGTTAACTCGTCGGGAGTTTCTTCCAAAGCACGCGACAGAACGACAGAGGTTCCAATTATTCCGAGTTCAGGTGAGAAACGGTGAATCTTAGGTTTCTTCAAAATGGGTTCACGGCGGGTTCTCATCCCATGGGTTCTCAACCTTACTACTTGACTACGACATGTAATGTCCACTGATTGATTCCTCGTCCTTGTCCCTTATATATTCTTAGCACCCAGGGAAATCCCGAAGAAGAGTACTGCTTCAGATGAACGTTGGCGTACGATTTCTACTTGGCCGTTTTTCCTCCCGTCTGGAAAATTTGATTGGGAAACAATGCCACTACTAACCAGTGAGTTTTGATCAGGGCTATACTTGGCTTGAAAAATTGCATCTTTTAGGGGAACAAAAAGAATGTATTCATTATGCAGTATACTGCTCTACCATCATCACTCTTTTTAGCCAATAAACAAGTCACGCTACAATAAGTTGACCCGCTGATGAACATTGTGATCCGAGATGACGCCGTAAAAGCTTATTTGAAACAAATTCCTATGGCGTACCCTAAAAAATCTCCCTGAGTACCGTAAATAAGGGTACCTGCGGGAGCAGTTCGTTGCATATTTTACATTGGATCACCCTCGGCAGTGATGAGGGATTTATTAATAAGGCCCTGATCAGAGCAAATGGTGTGGAATCAACAGATAACTGGGGACAGCCTGGAGAAGAATCTGCTGGTGGTGGTGCTGATGAGCTGAGCGGATTGGAGGAATGCGGCTTGACACTGCGAACATTACCGTCGACGATAATTTATCCGTTTGTCGTCAGGTTTCAAAGCCCCCTCGGTTTTCCTTGCACCGGGGCTTTGATCCGAAAAGGGGAGATCATCACAACTCACAAATGTTTCTCCAGGACGTCTCATCGCTCGTGCGTTGCAGTACTTATATTTTTTTATTTCCTTTTCCATGTTTCATATTTCATACAAAGGGTTGGTACACAACGTTTTCAAAGAGGGGTCGGTGGTTTTATCAATTGGAATGCAACACAGGCGGTACCTCGCAGTTAAACCTTCCTGCAAATGAATGGTTGAATTTGCTAGGAAGTTGACTCACAATTTGACCTTTGCCTCACAATTTGACCTCCTTTAGCCAGTGTTTTTGCTGCTGTTTCTTAATTTTTCACTCTTGCAGTTTGACAATAGATTAGGATGAAATTGTGGGGTATACCGCACCTGTACAGCAAAATCCCATGACAACAAACTTTTGGGACTTCAGAAAATTATTGTTGCACTGAATAATTTGTTATAATGAGCTCTTCAAAATTAATGACTGAAAATTGTGACCTGCCTATAAGCAAAATTATTTGGTTTTCTGGAATTCTGAGAATTTTTGTTACAGTTTGAAAAACAGAGTGATTTTCTGAAAGAAATTAGCTTACAGAAAAAATGTATTCGACTGGAATTGCAAAGTCTAGAAAGGGCGATTTTTTTTATAATGAGATTGTTTCAGCATGTACTCTAAGTATTTCTGCTAGGATTGGAGACAAGTTTGTTGTACTAAAAAAATGTTGAGCAGTATTTGTTGGAGGTTTTAATGTAAAATAATTAGTTCACAATTACGAGAAAATCTGGTAGAGTGCTGTTGTGGTTCAATTCAAACAACCTTAGCATAACAAAAATGCCACAAACTTCATCATACTCACGTCATTCAGCAAAAAAGATGATTTTATTATCCAGAGGAGGAATGAGCAAATATTTCTGGCTAGGAGAGAAAATTGTAATAATGCTCCTGAATTACGCGGAAAATTTTCTACTCACATTGTAAAAATTTTTTTTGGCAAATTAAGATTTGAACATTTTCTGTGCTCTTTATTCTGGATATTTATTTCTGATTGCTCATTCTGGATATTCCTCTCACATGTAACGATGAATTGGGAAGCTTCTTGCTTACTATCTGACAGAAATCAATATAAATGTCACATTCAGCCAATTTGTTCCTGAAATTGCCTGACATTTTTTCACCTTGCAATAACCGTCGTCGAATATTTTCTCGCAATAAAGCGATGCGCTTTTCTGCCCTCTGTTTATTATTTTAGAAGAAAGTCTCATGGGCAAATTACTTCCATTTTCTTTTTTTTCTATGCAAGGCTTCAAAAAATAAAAGTCAAAGCCTTTAAAACTTATGTACAGCCCTCGTACTTGGCTCACGCGCTTCTATAATTGTATTAATTTATTTTCATCATGATAAAAATCGTCCTTTTTTGTGAAAGAAGTATCGAGAATGACGGCGATGACAATGGCGTCATGCTGTACTTGAGTTTCCCGAGGAACCCGTTGAACCCAGTTGCTTTGCCAGCGAGAAATATCGCCCGAAACGAGGGCAACCAACTCGTCACCATCCGGGTCGAGATCACGCCATCCACAGTGGGGCACGATGACTTGCCTGTATGCATGCCCAACAACCACAGGATGCTTGAGGGCACAGACTACAAGGTCATCGCATTGAGTCAATCAGGAGGTAAATAATATTATAAAGTAAGACTTTCTTTCGGAATTAGCAGATTTTCAATTACAGTATTTCTCTTTAAAAAATTTAAATAGATTTATCACTGTCTTGATTTAATGAACACATACAGAAATAAAGAATACTACAGCGAAGAGGATCTTATAGCATGATCATTTCGGAACCCTTGAAGTTCCACACAAATTTGGGGCTCAGTAAAACAGCTTAAGAAAAAAAAACAAAGTTGGATTATATCCAGTAAAAAGGGCACAAAAGCAGTGAAAATTTACATTATTTACAGATACAACCAAGATAGTTACCATGCAAAAAGAGGGGGGTCAAATTTAATATGATTAGTTTGCACAAATTCAAATTAATAAAATAAATAAAATCAAATATTTTGTAAATAGGATAAGTGAAGTTTCTTCTAAAAATCCCATAAACTCTGCTACAACAAATTGAAGCTGACCTATGGCGAGCTGCTGCTGATTGGTTATCATTCTTTAAACACGGAAAGGGATGAATACATTTGACCTCGTATTGGTTTTTCCTGGGTAACTTCACGTATGGTATTGAAAATTCGTCATACATGTGTCAAATTTACGAAGTAAATGAGCACTGGCAAAGGGGTAGACAGTTGACGTCCGTGTATCCACATGGGGACTGTAGTAAAACTAATAGCCGAGTCATATTTAGTGTTGCTGAATTCCTATGGAAACGTAACATGAGGCTAATTTACCCTGAGGGGATGTGAAATTAATTCTGAGAAGTTCGTGCGATTTAAATATAAAGCAGAAAAGTTTTTTTTTCGATGTACTCATTAACTTCAATGTCATCAATTCATGATATTTTGCCTAGAAATATTTTAGCAATTCATGTATTCTTTCAAACAAATCGTGTAAGCTCTGCTAAAAGCAAATAAATTATCTGATGAGCAGGTGTCAAGTTAGCAAACACTCCACTTTTTGGGACATTTCCATCATCAAAACTTTCTGGGCATTCGCTACAATTTTCAGATGAGGAGAAAATTGATTGCATTTTCGGTCGAAAAACGAAGAAAGCTATAAAAAAAATATCCTGCTGCAGAGGAGTGATGTACATGAATAATATAGAGTATATTAAATATATTCCAAGTGCAAAAAAACATTCGCAAGAAATGTGACGGTAAAACGCTAGCTGACATATTTCCAATTCGCTCTGAAGAATAAACCTGGGAAATTTCCAGAGGTTCATTCAAGCTGTTTTCTTTTTGAATGCGCAATTGATCAAGCAAAACCCGTTCAACGATTTAAATTGCGTTATGGTCTTCAATTCAGGCATGATGGCCGTCGATGGTATCACGAGATGGCGACGCAACATCGGCTCGTTTCAGTTCACCACAGAGCCCGAATTTTTGATACAACCCAGAGAAGAAACCGGATGCGGGGTGAACCATTTTTTGCATTCTCAGAGACTGGAAAGATAAAAAAAATAAATACATGAAATAATGACAACCGGAAAATGCGAGATGAGCAGGAAGAATATACGTAATCAAAAAGACTTGATGTAAATAACAAAGCAGAATTATTCCCTGACTACGATACGGTTTCAATTTTCAAATCCATGCAGACTATCACGGAAGGTTCACCAATAGTCGAAGAAGGATCTGATGGAAGAATGACTCTGATCGGGATCACGAAGGAAAGTTTCCACGGCTGTTTCTATCCTTCCATGGCTCGCACATCTGTGGCATTCGAACCCGTGCTTCGCAGTAAGACGTTTACTATATGACAATCCTTGTTCATCATACGTTTCATAATCCCTGCATTCATTTGCCCGATTTAATTACACAGACGTCAAATTTGATGATTCTTGCTTATATTCTTAGACGCTGGACGATCTCCGACGATGTCTGCCGGACGAAGATTATCGAGGAGAGAATTCCCTCAGTGGCTCAGAAAGTGGAAATAATTTCTCATGATTTTTGAGACATCCTCTTACGATTCGTGCCATGGGGCTGCTATACAGAGAATTTAAATGCACCGAGTTTCGGATAACGGACGGAATATTGAAATGCAATGCTTGGATGACTTCATATTCTTTTTTCCACCCATCCAAACCAAGTTTATTAAGAAAGATATGAATATGTTTTCCTAGATCCTAGAATTTCTAGGAAAAGAGCATATATGGATGAGCTGTTCAATCTCTTCCTCCATTAATAAAACCCTGGTATGGGTTTCCTCCCAAACAATTGAATTGGGATGAATTGAACAGAAGGCTTCATTTTCCACTTTTCAGTACAGTATTCACAAGCATTCAAGCAATGTTCCCACACCCAAACCTGCCCCCTCAAATTAATTCAAACACATTCCATCACATCAGAATGGAAAACAGAGGAATAAGCTGTACATGGATATTAAAAGAAAAGAAAATGCATCCCAATATGTTCAATTGCACAACTGATGTACATACAGTACATACTATTTATTCCCCTCTCAAATAAGACAAACAAATGTCAGTAATAAGAATTGCAACGCAAGACAATTACTGAACCTTTATTAAACCACAAGATGTTCAGCCTTTTTTCAGATATGGTTTAGGTGATTAAATAATTTGGAGAGGATCTTTGATGAGNGGCAACCAACTCGTCACCATCCGGGTCGAGATCACGCCATCCACAGTGGGGCACGATGACTTGCCTGTATGCATGCCCAACAACCACAGGATGCTTGAGGGCACAGACTACAAGGTCATCGCATTGAGTCAATCAGGAGGTAAATAATATTATAAAGTAAGACTTTCTTTCGGAATTAGCAGATTTTCAATTACAGTATTTCTCTTTAAAAAATTTAAATAGATTTATCACTGTCTTGATTTAATGAACACATACAGAAATAAAGAATACTACAGCGAAGAGGATCTTATAGCATGATCATTTCGGAACCCTTGAAGTTCCACACAAATTTGGGGCTCAGTAAAACAGCTTAAGAAAAAAAAACAAAGTTGGATTATATCCAGTAAAAAGGGCACAAAAGCAGTGAAAATTTACATTATTTACAGATACAACCAAGATAGTTACCATGCAAAAAGAGGGGGGTCAAATTTAATATGATTAGTTTGCACAAATTCAAATTAATAAAATAAATAAAATCAAATATTTTGTAAATAGGATAAGTGAAGTTTCTTCTAAAAATCCCATAAACTCTGCTACAACAAATTGAAGCTGACCTATGGCGAGCTGCTGCTGATTGGTTATCATTCTTTAAACACGGAAAGGGATGAATACATTTGACCTCGTATTGGTTTTTCCTGGGTAACTTCACGTATGGTATTGAAAATTCGTCATACATGTGTCAAATTTACGAAGTAAATGAGCACTGGCAAAGGGGTAGACAGTTGACGTCCGTACGTGTATCCACATGGGGACTGTAGTAAAAATAATAGCCGAGTCGGATTTAGTGCTGTTGAATTCCTATGGAAACTTAACATGATGGCGAATTTACCCTGAGGGGATGTGAAATTAATTCTGAGAAGTTCGTGCGATTTAAATATAAAGCAGAAAAGTTTTTTTTCGATGTATTCATTAACTTCAATGTGATCAATTCATGATATTTTGCCTAGAAATATTTTAGCAATTCATGTATTCTTTCAAACAAATCGTGTAAGCTCTGCTAAAATCAAATAAATTATCTGATGAGCAGGTGTCAAGTTAGCAAACACTCCACTTTTTGGGACATTTCCATCATCAAAACTTTCTGGGCATTCGCTACAATTTTCAGATGAGGAGAAAATTGATTGCATTTTCGGTCGAAAAACGAAGAAAGCCATAAAAAAAAATATCCTGCTGCAGAGGAGTGATGTACATGAATAATATAGAGTATATTAAATATATTCCACGTGCAAAGAAACATTCGCAAGAAATGTGACGGTAAAGCACTAGCTCGCATATTTCAAATTTGCTCTAAAGAATAAACCTTGGAAAATTTCCAGAGGTTCATTCAAGCTGTTTTTTTTCAATGCGCAATTGATCAAACAAAACCCGTTCAACGATTTGAATTGCGTTACGGTCTTCCATTCAGGCATGATGGCCGTCGATGGTGTCACGAGATGGCGACGCAACATCGGCTCGTTTCAGTTCACCACAGAGCCCGAATTTTTGATACAACCCAGAGAAGAAACCGGATGCGGGGTGAACCATTTTTTGCATACTCAGAGACTGGAAAGATAAAAAATAAATACATGAAATAATGACGATCGACCGGAAAATGCGAGATAAGCAGGAAGAATATACGTAATCAAAAAGACTTGATGTAAATAACAAAGCAGAATTATTCCCTGACGATACGGTTTCAATTTTCCAATTCATGCAGACTATCACGGAAGGTTCACCAATAGTCGAAGAAGGATCTGATGGAAGAATGACTCTGATCGGGATCACGAAGGAAAGTTTCCACGGCTGTTTCTATCCTTCCATGGCTCGCACATCTGTGGCATTCGAACCCGTGCTTCGCAGTAAGACGTTTACTATATGACAATCCTTGTTCATCATACGTTTCATAATCCCTGCATTCATTTGCCCGATTTAATTACACAGACGTCAAATTTGATGATTCTTGCTTATATTCTTAGACGCTGGACGATCTCCGACGATGTCTGCCGGACGAAGATTATCGAGGAGAGAATTCCCTCAGTGGCTCAGAAAGTGGAAATAATTTCTCATGATTTTTGAGACGTCCTCTTACGATTCGTGTCATGGGGCTGCTATACAGAGAATTTAAATGCACCGAGTTTCGGATTACGGACGGAATATTAAAATCCAATGCTCCGACGACTTCATATTCTTTTTTCCACCCATCCAAACCAAGTTTATTAAGAAATATATGAATATGTTTTCCTAGATCCTAGAATTTCTAGGAAAAGAGCATCTATGGATGAGCTGTTCAATCTCTTCCTCCATTCATAAAACCCTGGTATGGGTTTTTTCCCAAGCAATTGAATTGAATTGAATTGAACAGAAGGCTTCATTTTCCACTTTTCAGTACAGTATTCACAAGCATTCAAGCAATGTTCCCACACCCAAACCCCCACACCTGCCCCCTCAAATTAATTCAAACACATTCCATCACATCGGAATGGAAAACAGAGAAATAAGCTGTACATGGATATTAAAAGAAAAGAAAATGCATCCCAATATGTTCAATTGCACAACTGATGTATACATACAGTACATACTATTTATTCCCCTCTCAGATAAGACGAACAAATGTCAGTAATAAGAATTGCAACGCAAGACAATTACTGAACCTTTATTAAACCACAAGATGTTCAGCCTTTTTTCAGATATGGTTTAGGTGATTAAATAATTTGGAGAGGATCTTTGATGAGAAATTGATGGGAGTTGAGGGACAAACGTTTCCATGATTTTTTATTTTCAACGCAAGGACCAGGTATTAGGGGGAAAATTTTCCTCTTCAATGAAGTACTGGGGTAAAATTTGAAAATGTCCTGCTTCTGTATGATGTCCTCGAAATATCCATATCCCTCAAATGCCAAAATTACTTGCTGAGTTTCTAGGCATGACAGTACTGTACTTTTTCATTTTGCTGGAGGTTGTCCAGGTCAACAGCGCATTACACATACTATACGTATTTTTAATTGTGATAAGAGCGACACCTACATTTTACATTCTTAAAGATGAAATATAGTGTTCCTGCATCTGCCGTGCCTGTCCGTGCGCTGAACGTTGGAGCTGTGAGGCAGCGAAATGCAAGGCAGGTTTCAAAATTCCCTGATCGTTACATTTGTGAGATGAAAGTGGAATACTTTCTAACGTCGTTCGCGTCATGTATCCCAGGGGGTTTTCTGAATCGATATTTTCTTCATTTTGCAGGATAACGTGCTCCACTTCATCCCCGACTTTTTTTTCGTGATAACTCCCTTCGATTTTGCCTGATCTGTGAAGTGGAAAGTAGCCGCCCGGAGAAGGAATATTTTCGTCTCGATTCCAAAGTTTTTTGTGTGTCCTACAGCTTTTGGCGAGAGTTTCTGACCTGGAAGTAACTGTGGACCAAACCAAAAACGAAGCTCAAAACCGGAGGAATGAGGTAGGAGTATCTCGAGCTGCCATTGGGGGTTCGACGGGACACTGAGCTTGTTTCTCATCGGCAGCATCCGGGCATGAAGGACGATTTGGAGTCGTTGCAAACAGAGCTGGCTGCCATGAATACGAAGCTGTAAGTTTTTTCGTCTTGTCTACCTAGACCACTCGAATGTTTTGACTCTGTCTTCACAGTTGAGAATCAAAGAGTAGTCGTGATTTATGTAGAACTTGTTTGAATGTCTATTGCTGTGAATGCCCGAGTGCGTTCCTGGAATTTGAACCTGCTGATGAAACAATTTAGGAATGTTTCTATTATATTTTAATCTAAACTTTTACATTTTCGGGAATAGGTTATCCTACGTTTGTGTTGTTGATCAATTCATTGGGTTTTTCATAATGATTCGATCATTGAAGCCCGTTTGATTATTGTCTTTCCAAAGAAACTTAATTTTGTGGAGGACCAGCTTTGTATGAAGCTCTGGAAGAATTTGCGAAGAAATACAAACTTGACCGCTGAATTCGAGAATGGCATGTGAAAAAAATTTTGTGTATGTTTTCCCTTTTTTTTCATGTTGAGTGTTGAATGCCATGGTTAGCTGCTGGACATTTCCATCCTTTTATTTTCTGTATTCGCAGGGAGATGAAAGCTGCAGACGTGGACCATTCTGAATCGCCCGACCTGCAAATGGAAGTGGAGCAGATGCGACTGGAACTGACTCGTGCTCGTGGAGAAAAGCAGTAACTGTGCGACGAGCTTGAGCGAGTGCGGCGGCGGATGTGGACGCCGTTTCTGTCGACCGCCACTCCGATGGATCTCAGCCCTGTGCCAGCTTCTCGCCCGTTTCTGTCCCGCTGCCGCAGATCGGCAGTGACAACGATTTTGTCATCAAGGGCAGTCAGGATAACCAAAGACCACCTGGATGACGACGACGACGATGATGATTATCTCCGTCAACTAGATTTCAGGCTTAGAGCCAAATCTCCTCGAAAGGTGGCG